CCCCCAAGGGGGAGTGAAATCCCACTCCCCCCTAAGGGGGAGTGAAATCACACTCCCCCCCAAGGGGAGTGAAATCACACTCCCCCCAAGGGGAGTGAAATCACACTCCCCCCCAAGGGGAGTGAAATCACACTCCCCCCAAGGGGAGTGAAATCACACTCCCCCCAAGGGGAGTGAAATCACACTCCCCCCAAGGGGAGTGAAATCACACTCCCCCCAAGGGGAGTGAAATCACACTCCCCCCAAGGGGAGTGAAATCACACTCCCCCCAAGGGGAGTGAAATCACAATCCCCCCAAGGAGAGTGAAATCACACTCCCCCCAAGGGGATTGAAATCACACTCCCCCCAAGGCTGTTGATAGGATACACTTTCAACAACCAAGATGTTTCCTCTTGGCTGTCTCTCCACTGTTGAGAGTGTATACTCTCAATGGCCAAGAGTTTCCTCTTGGCTGTTCAGTGTAAACTCTCAGCGTCCAGGAAAGTTTCTCCCAGCTGCTGAGATATACAAATCTTGACAGCCCTCCTGGCCCTCAAGATTTGTATGGCCACGGGGCCCATTGTTGAGGTTAAGCCTGCTAACATGATGTATCACCACAGTTTGGAGGTGCTGTGCAGTTGAGCCTAGACCAGTAAGACCCAACTACCCTGGCAGCCACAAGCGTCTGTAGCCTACACAGCTGTCACAGGGATGTCGCACGCAGTCTGCTGCGACACCCGCGGCAAGGGGCCCCCCTTACTGCGGGTGTCGCAGCAGACTGTATGCGACATCCGATCGCTAGCTGTGCTAGTTGGTAAAGGCAGCACTCTAGTATGTGTCTCAGCATTGCTGAGGTCGTGAGTTCGAATCTCACCAGACACATCTTCATTTTGTCTGTCTCTACACCCATTCCCCGGAAGAAGCTTCCAGGTTTTTTTTATTATCATCAAAATTCTTTGGGAGTCAACTCCCATTCCCAATGCTGGAATGGGAGGAACAACTCCCATTCTTAGGGGGTGGGGACACCCCGAGACAGTCCACCAAAATCCTGGGAGTCAACTCCCCAATTCTTTGGAGTCAATTAACCAAGCCCCTATCCTTTTAGACACTCAATTCTGATGTCACCCCTTCACGTTCCAATTGTAATGATTCATTGATTGATGAAGTGATGTAACTTGGGAGAAGATTTTTAGGCTAAAAAAAACTAGGAAAAATGATTCTTGCAGGGGAAACACATATAAGTTTGTTTCCCCTTTGCTTGTGTTATGAGCTGTGGAGGACTGGAACTGGGGACGTTACATATGTAGGGAGCCTGTTACGTACATGTCACGAACTTCGAACTTGGAGTTCGTTCGAGATCCGAACCTTGTACATTCCTCATCTTGCAATCTACCATCAAGACTCAGAACCCTGAAGATCCATCACCTGCTCTCCTCAGAACACCCATAACAGCTTGCCTGCTTGGCACCTCAGGAGGCTGGAGGAGGACCTGGGACAGTGTGCCGGGGCGTGTTGAGTTTTAGCGGACCTGTCACGTATCCTTAACCCTTGTCGAATGCTCTTGCTTAGCCCTCTCCGCAGTCACTCTAGCCGATGCGAGTATCACCACACGCTTAGGTTTGATTCTTCTCAACATATAAGAACTCTTTGAACTCGTCCGGCAAAAACGCCAGACTCGACAAGATTCTCCGAATCTCAACTTGCTCAAGATCTAGTCTCTAGAACTTCCGCCCCTCGCAATCCTATTCAAGATCAAAAAAACTGTAAAGTCTCAATCTCAGTCGTCTCTCTCACTCACTCGAACCAGTTCCTGATCCGATCTCTCTCTTTCTCTTCCTCAAGATTAACTCTCGACTCGACTAAGAAGTCTCATTCTAAAAACTCTCCTTCTCTCTAGCATCACGTCTGCTCAACGTGTTGTTTGTTCTTTCATCCTTCATCTCTCATCTTCTGGTCCTGTGTTGTTTGATGCTGAAATCGCTAATCTCTTTCTTGTTTCATCCTTCTCTGTTTTTTTTTATTTCTCACAGTTGTGCTCATCTTAACTGTCCTTATTCAAAGTCCTCTGCTTCTTTCTCACATTCTTGTTATCTTTTGGTGGTATGCTCCTGATTCCTTTATTATCATTTCTCTTTCCTTTTTTTCTTGTTCCTGCTCTAATCTTTTTTTTGTTTCCAGTCTGGTTTCGGTCTTTAGTAATTCAGTCAAAAATTCTTCAGGGCGTAATGTATCAACTGGGCATGGGTGGAGCATCCTCCCAGACTGACTTCAACATAGTGAGAACATCTTGTGCAGCTAGCTTGCTCAGCCTCTCCGTCGAACGCACGAAGTGCGGGAGAGGCTTGTGACCAAAACAAACATACCCGCGTGTCACTTTCGCGTTTTTAGGGTGTTTTTTGCGCAGAAAATTCTAATGTATCACTTTCTACACTTTTGTAGGGGAAAAATCTGGGCCAGCATGCCCCAGATGCTAAAGTCAATTGTAATCAAGGAAATATCCAGAAATATTTACAACTACATTCTAGAGAAACTTTGTAATTGTCAAAGTTTCCGCTCAGATTTGTGCTTTTTGCTTATGTAATAGCTTCTCAAGGCTCAGAACTCAACTTGGATTCTTTGATTTTTTCAATTTTTCATGTTTTTCAAAAAAATCTTACTCATCTGAATTTCAGAAAAAATCCCTAAAATTTGCTGAGAAGATTGGCAACATGGTCAACTTTGACCATGCTGGATCTGCCTGAAAAAAAAGTTAAATTACATGCATGGTGGGCAATCCAAATTTTGCTACACCAAAACATGTCAATAGCGACACGCGAGCTTGTGTGTATTTGTCACAAGTCCCTCCTTCGGAGGCTCGCTTCGCAAGTGGCGCCAGCCAGCCAAGGTCACCAGGACCGCAGAAGCTTGGGACTTGTCTCAAGTTAGCTTGTGCAGTAGTATTGTTGGAGTGTAATCATTTCAGGGCAGGTGGATTCGTGACTGAAACTGAAAGCACTGCAAGGAAAGTCATTGTATGTAAAGGTCTTCACCATGGTGTTTATAAACTCTGCCAACATCGCTGGCACCGGTCAGAATGCAGGTCTGGATCAGGTGGTGGTCCCCGAAGTCCAGGAGCAATCAAGAAGGACTTGAGGAGTAGGGCAACCACAAAGGCAAACTGGGAAATGGTGGGTAGACCTGGCATCCTATAGCTGAGTTGACGGGGACTAACAAGTTGCAGTGGTTGGCAATAGGACTTGAACTCTGGCAATGATGGTGGTGAGGGATCGAACTTATCCTAAGTCTCCAGCTGCGGCGGGCGCATCTGGCAGCGTAGCGCTGGCCAGGCGGTTCCCGAAGGGAACTCCCCGCAGGGGAGACTTGGGCCAGAGGTCGACGAACTCAGGTGCTGAGTTTCTCCAGTTTTGGTGGGAGCGTCACAAGATTTGCAATCATGACGCTCCCTCAAAAGTTTATGGATGTTCGGCCCAGAATTCTTGAAGGGCTAGATGATCCTATTGATCCAGCCCAAACTCAGAAGTTGTACACCACAACTGGAATTAAGATTGATTTTCTAAAATTAAGATTTGAACTTTTTTTGAGCTCAAATGCGGGGTTTGCTCAACTTGGGCCCACCAAAATAAGTCAACCTGAGTTGAAAAGTCGATGTTTTCAAAACCTTTCTGTAAATGATTAACAAAAAAAAAACAAAAAAACTGAACACAGGGAAATGTGGACAAGAAGCAGACCCTTCTTGGTCCACAAGGAAATTATATAAATGTGGATGAGGAAGAGTGCAGTCAGAAAAATACACAAAAAAACAGGTTTCAAGCCCAATTTTGAAAACTCACCACGCGGGGATCGCCGCATCTGTTCTAGGCCTCCACTGGCGTGGACAGCTCCGCTGCTCGCTCCCGCTCCCGCCGTGGAGGCCTAGTTAGGCTCGGTGAGGGATAGGACTTTTGAACGCAGTGGGCTCTCAAAGTGGGGTGAGGTTTTGACTGCCAATACCACTATGCCAGCAAAGCGTACTTCAAGAGAAGGTATTTACGCGTTTTATATTCATTTTCCATTATATACAACACGTCGAGCATCCTAAAGATGACTTTCATTTTCCATCATACATATCTTTATTTCTTGCAAATTACCTGACTGGTTACAATCTTTGAACATTTCCTGACCGGCGGATGAATTCTACACATTTTGGGAGATTACCTTGCAGTGAATTGCCATCTTTTGTCATGCTGTCTCAATCTAGCCTTCAGTGGAGTTTGATGAGTATGCACCATAACTGGAGTGTCGGACTCAGCCTTCTCTCGCTGAGTCCGGATGGTTCCGAAACAGACTGGCCGCTCCTAGCACCACCTCCGGCTCAAAAAAAAAAAAAAAACAGTGGGCTGGTTCCTAAGGTCTGCCCTCCTCCCCATAAGAGCAGTGCTGTTCTTCCCTCATTCCCCATTCTCCTACTGGTATCACTCATCTTTCTGTCTTTCCGGGGAACTTTTTCTCTTGAATTTAATTCGCTTACACTCCTTGGCTTGACTTAATTTCCATCTATCTGTCTTTCCTGATGTCATCCTCTAACATGGACGACTCGACCACTGTTACCACTTTTGACGACGAACTTGACCATCCCCCGACAAAAACCTCCGCTAAGGTAAGTCAACAAGACTCGGGGACGCGTCTGAAGTCCCAGCAATCAATACTCACTAGCCACTTACAAATAAACTGTTCATATACTTTATCTTCCATTATGATTTGTCAGCATTTGTCGAGCACGGATGATGACCCTGGTGCGGCGACAATCGTCTCGGCCGCTTCCCTCGATCCAGCCAATATGGGCACTCCCTCATCGACACCGACAGGCCTTGGGGCACGTCCTGCATGGAAATCTAAGCCTACGGGCGGGTCGGCCGGCATTCCTAAAGAGAGTTTTTCCCCGCCACCGGTGGCCGTCAGCTCAAAGCTAGCTGCCAGCTCAAATGTGTCCGTCAACTCGAACGTGTCTGTCAGCCCGAGCGTGGCCGTCTCCTCAGTTTCCCCTCTTCCTTCCCCAGAAACCTTGCCCATCAGATCGATAGAGGTGGAGGCGCCGCCGCGTCAGCACAATTCAGTGGGTGTGGTGGTCGCCGCAATCTTATCCGTCTCGGTGGTACTCGTGTTAGTTCTCGTGGTTGGATATCTAACCAGCCAGCGGTACCGTAGATGGAGGGAAAGCCGACGTGCGCGCTACACAGAGACCAAATGGAAGATCTCCCGCCCATTGCCGGAGGGCGAAAGTCTGCGCTCGTCAATGCGAGAGGTGCCGCAAATCGAAATCTCGACCAATGAACTGGTCTATGCTCCCTTGGACCCGTTTGCTAGTTCGATCCCCAGACAGAGCCGAATGCCATTCAATCTCGGTAGCTCAGATCCAGTCGAGGAAATCGACGAGGAACGAGGCTGGCTCTGGGGCACCCAGACATCCAAGAAGAAGGGTACCGACCGGCTTGTTACACCTGGCTTGGGCGTTGGCAAATACCGCTCAAAGAACAGCCGCGGCCAACGTCAGGATTCTCTCAACTCACGACAGTCTCACTTACAGACTGATGATATCGATGAGTTGATGGAGGAACTTATGTATGCTGACGAGGCTGGAGACGCGTACAAATACGACAATGGCCCGGAGGAGCCATCCACCCGCTTTGCCACAACCGGGGTCTCATCTCTGCTCGGCAGATTGAAAGATAGCTTCAGTGACAGGTCTGGCTTTGGTAGCCTGAGCTCTTCGGCGGGAAGACTGGGAATCGATTCCAAGCGAGGGCGATGGAACGAAGTTGGTCGGTTAGTCATTGATGATGAGAAAGATATCACCACTCAAGACGACGACGATCACGAGAAGACGCCAGGCTTCCAAGTTCGCTTCGAGAACAATGTCTCATTCAGATCAGCCTCTCCCTTGTCTGAGATCCTTTCGACCTCTACGTGGGACAATCACTCGGACCACAAAGTCGCTAAGATCAACCGGGCGCGTGCTCCCAGTCTCGAGGGGGAGATCGACGACGCGCAAGCCGGATATATTTCCACTGGCCATCCCTTCCGTCAGCCTGATGCGTGTCCCCGAACTTCTGGGACCAACTCGGTGAGACAACTCGTAAATCGACTGGAGGAGAACGAGGGGAAGTTCACCCACCTCCCGAGCCCATCCTCTCGACAGCCCCGTCGGAAACGAAAAGAAGCATTGCCGTCCAGGTACGACACTCAGCCTGACCAACATACTCATGCTTCAAAAATTCGAACGGAAAAACTTGGCGGTTTGGTCAAGGTGAAGTCTAAGCATCTCTACCCCGGCGGCTACGTCGGCCGGTCACCCACCAAAAAGCTGAGGAAAAAGGATTCCCCTGACGCGTAAACTTCCAATTTACCCGCACTCCAACCCTTCACATAATTATCTGTGCACTTCTATTAAATGATTGTTCTGTCACCCTTCAAAATTTATCACTGTCTTTTTTTGCAAAAGAAATTAATAAATAATAATGTACTGGTTTGATTTGATAAACTTTTGGGTTACCTGTTCTTGAATAACTACTCAAAACACCATCACATTAATATTATCCTTCCCTCTACTCCAGCTTGCCTAATCTTGATTGTTCTCTAATGTAGCGTACCCAAATTTTTCTGAATGCAATCACATACATGTCTGTATCTTCAAGTAAATATAACCTATATCAAAAGAATCTCAGGCTGCTTTCCTCATGTAACTTATTTAACAGGTGGGGCCAGAGTTTGCAAGTCTCAGAAAGGATAACAGTTCCCTCGATTGTTATCCAGTGCTGGTTTTGCACTGCCTCTTTCTGGAGAAAAGAAATATTACCCCCAAAACAAAATGAGTGGAACGGGTACTAATCTTGTGGGACAGTAGACAACTGAAAACCAACAGAGGCATTCACCAACTTGGTTTATAATTACTAACGGGCTCCTCAGGGAAGGTGCAGATGTGCAGCAATAAACTTAAAACTGGGTGTATTTTTTAACGACCTAAAATGAGTCAAGACAAAAAAAAACAAGGTGAGAAATTCCTCAACCCCCTGATTCTGTTGAGATGGACCCTCTGGAGACAAATGTGTTGGAAGGATAGTCATTTCAACATAGAGAAAAGATGAAAGAAAAGAAAGAAAAAGAGAGAAAACATACCTGGAGACAAATGTGTTGGAAGGATGAGGAAAGAGGAGTCCTACCACACACATATGAATCCAGTATAAGAGGATGAAAGAAAACAAGTGCATGTCACAGAATGTGACATGTGAGAAATGAGATCAGGAAGAAAGCAGACTAACAACGGTGGACATGCACTAATCAGTGACATGCCACATGTATCTCAACAGATTCTGTAATCAGTGCACCTCAAGGAAAAATGAAAATTATGGACCTTTTTTCATCTTGTTTTGGTCCATTTTTTCCACCTTCCAGATTTGAGTTGCTTATAACTTACCAATATTGTGCCTGTTAGTCATTCAATCTTTTTTGAAAAGGAGTCAGTTCAGAGACAATTCCTGTACGTAGGAGATATATTCCAATGCTTCAGATTAACACATGGTCTGTTTATTTATCTCTCAAGAAATACTGGTCCAGCTTCAAAAAATCAACATTCTGGACAATTTCTCAACTTCTGGAAACTTCTATACCAAATAAGAGAAAATAAAAAAATGCAGATATCTGATCATTTTGCATGTGAAAGTGAACATGAAAACTAAAAGAAGCTTGACAAGATATCAGTAGGAACTAATAGGCTGGGGGGAGGGGGCCTAATTTAATTCCTCAACAAGAAAGCTTAAAGCTAAAAGAAAATTGAAATTGTGGAGGAGATGCTATCTGATTGGCTCTAATGAAGAAGGAATTGACATTCTTTCTGTAGCTATACCTAACAAGATGCAGGAAAATTGTTACAGATAGCTGATCATTTTTCATGTGGACGGGAGCATGAAAACTGGTAGGAGTTTGACAAGACATGAGCAGAAATAAATAGGGGGCAACATCCTGGACAAAAAAAACTCAAACTCAAATGAAACTGAAATGATGTAGGAGATGCTTAAATTTCCAGCAGCTGGAATGAACATTAATATTTAGGCACAAAGTTCTAAGAGCATGTAAAAACTATCATAAGTTACTTCTGGTAAATCCAGCGCGTTGGATGACATATTGGATTGTCTGCTGGTCAAAAGCCGCTCCCGGAGTGGAAGATTCTACAGCCAAGGAATTACCGGGGTTCAATGTATACTGGATCGAGTGGTTTGGTTTAATTGTTTGGACCTGGTGCCCAGCTACCCAGACCCTTAAGTCGACCGTGCCATGATTCACGTAAGGTATCAAAATTCGTTGACCATGCTGCATCTGGCCAGATATAGAAGGTGCCCCGTAACCACTAGGAAAATTGAGGTCGGAGACTATGTATCTCGCTCCTTTATGATCGACAGGAACTGCGCCACCAAAAGCTGCAGCGATCAGCATGCTTGCGACCATGGATATGAAAATCAACTTCATGGTGTTTTGAGTGATTTTGCTTATCTCTAGTTGAACTTGTGGATTGGTCTACGGATTTGCTCCAAGGGAAAGAGTGAAGAAAGCTTGGTATTGCTAAAACTGTGTGGGGGTCAGGAATTTGATCATCAGTATCTGTATCAAAAACACCAGGAATTAAGCAGTTGAACTTGGTAAATGAAGTAACCAGTCATCATCACATGGGATGGAGTATACAACTAAACTACGACAGAAGTAATCGAAAACAAAATTTACCTGCTGTTTCTATTCAAGAGGGAAGCAAGTGGGTCGTGCTGTGGGAAACAAGGAATCGCTGGAGGATGGGGCCCTTATGTAGACATTCCAGTAGCTCCAGGGTGCTCTGCGTGCACTCTCCATGAGCTGATGTTCGCTGAGTTTTGTCGGGTAGCATCGTTGGTTTGACTGGACAAGACTCGACAGGTAATCACATACAAACTTGATACAACTACGAGACACTCTCAATTTTACTGAGGACCATCTCGGTATGTATTCCTTGGTGGAGCTAGTTTACGATCGACTTAAACAGCACATCGAAACTTTTCATCATGGCTTATCGGCCAGTCAACGTGTCTATATTTTCATCGGAAACTTGCTGTCTGTCAGGCGTTTTGGAACGACCATGTATACGTCTTTCTGCTGGCGGCCCAATGCTTGCCTGGTGAGGCAATTCTGCCTTGGGCGGCGGTCAATCACTTCAAAAACGTATTTATCAAGTCGAGTTACATTGACTCGCCGATGACAACTTGACAGCGATGCAAACAGTTCTTTACATGAAGATCAAACATTTTCGTCGTTGTCAGAGCCTATCGCGATGACTTGGTAATACATAGTGATCCAAAAGAGTGCCCATGAAATCCAGTAAGGCAATCCTCGCCTGGCGGGGGCGAGCGGCAGCAGCTTCAAAAAGAGTATTAAGTTGCGTTGTGTTGCGTTGACTCGGTTGATGACGACTCGACAGGCTTGTACAAAACGGCCACATCCTGATCAAACATGTTCGTCATTGTCAGAGCCAAGTCAGAGCACATCACGATGGCTTGTCGGAAGAAACGAGTGCCCCCATATCATATCATATGAGGATGGCCTACATACAATTTTGTTTACACCTGCAGGGCCTTCTCGGAGAAGGAATTGAGGAGTACAATCCATGATGTGCGATGACCGGCGTACCTGGAACGCCAAAGTCCGATCAGCATCCTCTAAGATGACGAAGGGAGTTGAGCCCACTACTACAAGTTAGAGTATTGACACCCAGTACAACTGCTCGACAGGCTTCCAAACAGCATAAAAACATCAAACCTGGTTATGACTGTCAGAGCGGGTTGGCACTGGGCCCTTTGGCCTGGAGTTGGTGCTTGTGATCCTTTGTTCAGCGACTGGGAAACGCAGCAGACATCATGTCCATTACGATGACCATGACGTCAAGTTGGCGTGTTCCAACGGACTGGTTTCAAATACGATGTTAACCCCGCAACTTATGAACTCATACGGATAGCGGGGCCCAAAATTGGTTTTTGTCTGTGAGTATCACCACTGCATTATGTAAGATGGGATTGAGAGATGTTTGTATTCATTGGTTCAACAATTTGAGAGGGACGCAGTATCCAAAAAAAGGGGTCTAGTCTATTTTTTTTGAAACAATTCCATTGAGAATGGGGCAACAGATGATTGACCAGACAATAAAATAAAACCGTTGTAAAAGGGTATATGTACTTCTCATATCGTGTCGTGTGTGTATGGCTGGATACATGTCAGGGGGAGCCAATGGCGAGGGGAAAGAAACGATCAAGTGAGACCTGTAATAAAGGGTTCCGCCTACCGACACAGTCTTGACGTCGAGGAACAAGACTTCGCCGGCACGATCAGCATCCTCCTTTCCAGCATCAAGAGTTGCAGGGGTTTGTGAAGATGGAGCGGGTTGAGTTGAGGAGTGGGAGGCGGGAGGAACGGAGCGGAAGAAGTGATGCAAAAGGTCGAAGCCCTCGACCGGCCTGATCGACTCATCAGCCGTCCCGATGGTCACATGATATCTGATCGACGTCGGGGCCGGATCGGTCGCCGAGTCTTGCGTGCGCACTCTCGCCTCCAAGATCATGACCCGGTTATTCCAGATGAGCTTGGGCCCAAGAAGGAGGCCGAAGGCGACCTTGCGCGCTAACACCCGGCCCTGGTACTCATCCCATAGCCGCTTCATCTCCTCGCTTTCCTCCGTCTGGTTCTGGTGCACCAGAGTTAGGTGGGGCGTCGCCGTTATCCGCCGGTTCTTGACTAGCTCCGTAAACATTTGGTGACCCGCCTTCTGGGTCGGCTCTTGCGGAGTCTGGCCAAAAGCCCCAAGGAGCTCGCCGACTAGCTTCTTCAGATCTACGTCCAGCTTCACCCCGAAGTAACGCGGAGACTGCAATGCGGCCTCGACTTTCATTTCATTCTTGATCGAAGGCTTGTACGCTCAAGCGATCTCCAATGCATTTTTCATCTTTTGACTATCAATCCGGTCCTCCGGAGCCAGCAGACCGGGACAGTTTTGAAACAAAAAAGTTAATATGAATTGATAATTTGATATGAAATGTTAATGAGATGAAAGTCAACTAGTTTTCTCACCAAATTGGTAGAGATCAAGAGATAAGGTCAGCACAAGGGGTATGATGGATGGCTGAAGTGAGGACAAGATCAGTTGTAGTTGGTGTTGATGTGAGTGGATCAGGAGGGGAATGAACAAAAGAAGAATAACTAAAGTTGGAGATCAAAGTGGGGGGGGGGAATATTTGGAGAAGGTTCATGAGGTTTTTTGAGGAGAAATGCCCAAGTAGATGGAGGCAATTGTACTACTGTCAAAATTGTAGTTGATGATTTTTGGAATGTGGGAGGCTGCTGAAGAAGAGAGTTGGAGGGGTATCTATATGTGTGTGGGAGCAGTGTTGAAATACAGTTCATCAGAGATGTTCTAGGTTTCATGAAGGTAGCAGAGTGTAGGCAGAGAGCATATAAATGGAGTCAAGCAGAAGGTAAAAAAGAAAAATAGAAATGAGAAATGAAATGAATGAAGCATGGAGAGGAGAATGTGAATGCAGGAAGAATTCCAAGATAAAGAGCTTGATTTTTAGCCATGAGATTCAGTTAAGATACCTCTTTCCTTTTCTTCCATGTCTAGATACTCAAAAAAAATGAGTTGATTTACCCTATCAGTGTATTTCCCCAAGATCTAAGCCTAAGGCACTCCTTAACTGTCCTATAGGGAAAATTCATACCTTACTTAGATTAATCCAATGTCTTTGTTTCTTATTTTGAAGATATTCAAATCAGAGACACTTTCTCCATATATGAGAAATATGCAAATGAGTTAACTGACCCAAAGTGTGATCTTTGATATCTCAAGGAATGTTGGCCCACTTGCAAAAAAGCAGGACCCTGGCTTGTTTCTTAACTTCTGTCAACAGCCATACATACTAAAAAGGATGAAAGAAAATCTTTGAAGATAGCTGATTGTTGGGCTGTTTGTGTTATCTTTGCTGCTCTTGAACAAGTTTTTTTTTTTTGCAGATGAACAAACCTAATTTGCTTTGATCATGGGATTTTTCCTTTCATTAGGGGAGCCTCCCAGTAAACTTTTTTAACTGCTATTTCTCCATGCTGAGGAAATGGAATCGACAAACTCAGGATTATTGAATGACTCAAGTTTGCATGAAGAATTCATCATCAGTAGTCTGTCAGTCATGTGTCGCCGCCCGGTCCGGCCCGTCCGTGGCAGACGGGTAAACAATTCCCTATATCTTTCTCTTTCAAAAATGGCATCAACTTTCATCGCAGTGTGCCATGCCGAACAACGTGACATTGTGTGTGTCAGCTGTTGTGTGATGCGACAATGTTGCTGTATATACCCCATAAGACCCCATCATCATATGTCATTGCCTGTTGTGATTGCAAAAAAAATGCGTACAATTCCGGATTCCCCGCTCCGACGGAAGACTGAGGGACTTGTCCGTTCATGTGATCAGGAGTCAGTGCACAAAATTTTCATTTACGCAACTGTGCACTGGGGCCAGGACAGTAAGTAGACAGAGATTTCAGTGTGGAACAAATTGTTGCACAGTTCCCAATAAGCTAGTTATAGTGTGCAAGGTACATCTAATCTATGTAGCTATTTACGCTTGAGAAAATGCAAGAAAAAGATTTGCCAATAGCCGATCATTTCTTCATGTGAAATTGAGTGAGCATGAAAAAACTGCAGAAATTTTGGCAAGATATGAGCATGAGGAATAGGGGGCAAAATCTTGGAAGAAAAGAAAAAGTAACTTCAATGTAACAAACAATTTGATGATGGGGGAGATGCTATCTATTTGAATTTCATGCAGCTGGAACGAACATTTAGATGTAGGCACAAAGTTCTCTAAGCATCAGCTCATAAGTTACTTGGAGTAGAGAGTCCTGAGAGTTCCCAGAGTGTATTGTACAAATTCATGTTCATGGCCCCCCCTTCAGTCAAGCATTCTATAGCCACAGGGTATTGGGTTTGAAAAAGTATGGGGTGTGATTGGCCTGGTGGAATTCTTATAGCCGCATGCCGAGGTATCCCATTCCACACAATGATACTGTGAGGTCGTTGATTGCAGTATGTAGTAACACCGTCAGGTAATCTGTGGTGGAAGACTCTGTATTTCACTCCATGATAATCAAACGTTTTTTCACCAAATACTGTAGCCAACAGGATGCTTGCAACCATGGACATAAAGATCAACTTCATGATGTGCTGAGTGCTTCTGCTTATCTTTGAATTGGTCTTTATGGATTTGCTCCAAGAAAAGGATTGATGAAAGCTTGGTGGGTGTTGTTGCAACTGTGTGGAGGCAGAAATTTGCTTATCAGCAATCATCATTCTCATCTACATTTAGGGAATCCAAGGTATCATGCATGAAATCATAGAGTGCGTAAGACTTATACTAGTATACATATGATGTTTGCAGGAGTTTGATCATAAAGTGGAAAACTCCCACCAAAAAAATATGCATTATAATTTTATGCACTCTATGATTTCATGCATTTCAACTTTGAATACCATAATTAAGGACACTGGGAATTAAATAGTGGAAGTTGAGAAACCAAATAACCAGCCATCAACACAGGTGGGATGGAGTCTACAACTGCACAACTACTGAAGCAATCAAAATTACAAGATCTACCTGCTGTTCCTGTCCAGAAGGGAGCAAATGTGTTGGTGGCAGCTGAAGTAGTGCTGTGGGAAACAAGGAACCACTGGAGGAAGGGCCCCTTTATTGACATTTCAGTAACTCTTGGGTGCCCAATTGTGGACATGTTTTGTTAGAGAGTGTTTGCTAGGTTGTGTCAGGTAACAAACGTCTGTTACAAGTCCCTCGGCTTAAGCTAAAGTTTGGTCAGGCAGAATTGTTGGTTTGACTTGACAAGACTTGACTCTACAAGACACTCTCATTTTTGCTGAGGGCCAATTGTGTACAGCATACCCAACAATGCTTGCAACTTTTTACAAAAAAAATGAAAGTTTGCTCAAGCAAAAACAAATATTTCAATTGAAATGTCAGTTGGCTGCCTGTTGGAACTCTCACTGTGTGATAGCAGATAGTTGAGTTTTCCTGATTTTCCCACCCTACAATACTGTCCCATAAGCCAAAAAGTTTTTCTTTGCAAGTCAAACTTTTTATTTTTTTTGTCAAAAGTTGCAAGCATTGTTGGTTTGGCTGTATTCCTTGGTGGAGACAGTTCAAGTTTGTGATCGAATCAAACAGTACATTGGAGCTTTTCATCATGACCATGTCGGCCTGTCAAAGTGAGTATTTGCTTTATCGACAAGCAGCTGCCTGTTAGGCATCTTGTGACAAGCATGTTGTTCAAGTCCTTCTGCAGGCGGTGTAATGCTTGACTGGGGGGGGGGGCAATTCTGTCTTACGCGGCGCATGTCAATAGCTTCAAAAAAAGTATCTTGACTACACTGCGGGCTACTGCGGGGGCACTTTTAAGGTTTGGCTTCGAAACAGTTGCAACGCTTACAGATTTCACGAAAGTTCCATTCAAAAAAAAGGACAAGACCGGACGCAAGAGTTTTGCAATCCCATTCGCATGGGATTGCGTAAATAATTTACCAGGACCAAGGTCCCCGACGTCCTCCCCTGCAGGCGCAGGTTGGGCAACTACAATTCCGAAACGTTTTTGGCAAAACTTGCGAAATCCTGCGCCCGTGGTATATGTATGTATGTAGTTGATGCCCGCTCGAAAGGCATGCACACAGTCACATCCAGATGAAACACTTTTGGTCGCTATCAGAGCCTATTGAGATGGCTCAATGATAGTGAAGCAAGAAAGTGGGTTGAGTTATCCAGACCGGATCCAACGTCTTCGTCCACGATGACTTGCTGGGAGGGATCGGTGCTTCACAGAGCCTGCAAGGATGGACTACAAACAGACCCCCTGGGACAGAAATTGAGGACCACAATCATTGAGCGGGACAAGTCGAAGGCTATGTGAGCAATGTCCGCCTGCCTGGAACACCAATCAGCATCCTCAAGATGGCGGAGCGAGTCAACCCCACTGCACATGCGAGTATAACACCTACTTACGTACATAGTACACTCGACATGCTTCCAAAGAACCTGAAAACATCAAACGTTAAGTGACTGGGAGGCGCAGCACAGATAGCATGGCTTTCGATGGCGTTAAGTTGGTGTACATACTCTAACAGACTGGTCGTCAACCTCGCAACTCTGGAACTCATGCGGATGGAGGTGCCGAACATTTTGTGTTCATATTTTCTTATCTGTGGGTATCACGAGTGTATTGGAGAGATACTATTCATGAATTTAAAAGTTTAACTATTTTGAATCGATTTCATGGAAGATGGGGCAAGAGGTTATTGACCAGACAGTAAAAAACAACGGTTCCAAGAGGGTATACTTCGTATCGTGTTATGTGTGTACGGCTGGATACATGTCAGGGAGAGCCAATAGCGAGGTGAAAGAAACAATCAAGTGAGACCTTTGAGGGTCCCGCCCACCGACACAGTCTTGACGTCGAGGAACAAGACTTCGCCGGCACGATCAGCATCCTGCTTTCCAGCATCAAGAGTTGCATGGGTTTGTGGAGATGGAGCGGGTTGAGTTGAGGAGTGGGAGGCGTGAGGAACGGAGCGGAAGAAGTGATGCAAGAGGTCGAAGCCCTCGACGGGTCTGATCGACTCATCAGCCGTCCCGATGGTCACATGATATCTGATCGACGTCGGGGCCGGATCGGTCGCCGAGTCTCCCGGAGATTGTGTGCGCACTCTCGCCTCCAAGATCATGACCCGGTTGTTCCAGATGAGCTTGGGCCCAAGAAGGAGGCCGAAGGCGACCTTGCGCGCCAACACCCGGCCCTGGTACTCATCCCATAACTGCTTCATCTCCTCGCTTTCCTCCGTCTGGTTCTGGTGCACCAGAGTTAGATGGGGCGTCGCCGTTATCCGCCGGTTCTTGACTAGCTCCGTGAACATTTTGTGACCCGCCTTCTGGGTCGGCTCTTGCGAAGTCTGGTCAAAAGCCTCAAGGAGCTCGCCGACTAGCTTCTTCAGATCTACGTCCAGCTTCACCCCGAAGTAACGCGGAGACTGCAATGCGGCCTCGACTTTCATTTCTTTCTTGATCGAAGGCTTGTACGCTCGAGCGGTCTCCAATGCATTCTTCATCTTTTGACTATCAATCCGGTCCTCCGGAGCCAGCAGACCGGGACAGATTTTGCTCAATTGAGCACACAAATCTTCGAGGTTATTTTCGATCGAGTCGGCAAATTTGAGTTGAATGATGTGGCGAAACGGCTGATCCTCTGGATTAATGTCCGGGTCGAAATCTTCGAGGGTTTTGAGGAATCTCCAGAGGATAGCATCGTGAGCTTCGAGTCCACCGGAGGTCAATTCAGGTCTCAAAGATTGATGGTTCTCTCCGCGTTGGACGATTCTCTGGGCGGCGATCTGGTGGAGTTCGCCGGACGAATGAGCCTCAAGGTCCCAGGTCACGGCCACCATTCTGACCTTCATCCGGACTAACTCGGTCTCCCGCGAGCCCTTCCCTTTGCCCTTCTTCACCTGGATCCCTTCCTTCAACTTGGCAATTAGTTCCACTAGGGCTGTTCGATGAGTCTTCAAATGATTGTTTTTATCGGCAATCACGAGGCTTGGTCCACTCTTGTCGAGCAATAAACTCTTCACATTCTCAATAAACGCTGGCCCCGTCTTTTTCGTCGTAATGTCATCGCTTTGGGTGTGCGAACACTTGGTCAAATGTTTGAGTGCAATGGCCAGCGTCGTTTTGCCTGTTATGATTCCATAAACCAATCCATGTATTGATATCAGTATAGATTCCTTTAACCAAATATTATCAAGGAGACATACCACATCCAGGAATCCCGATTGGGACCAGCAAAGTCTTATCAAAGTGCTGATCTTCCTCGACCTCAGTTCCAGCTCCAGTAGATGGTTTCTGAGAAGCTGAAGAGCCCAATTGGTCGATGATTTTCAGAGCGTCTTGAGAATTGCGCCACTCGAAGAAGGCCTCCCTGGTGGCGACGATCCCACGGTTCTTCTGCCAAAGGTCGAATGTTTGGGGCCGGTTCAACAGCTCTTGGAGTACCCAATGGACATACAGTCTTGTCTCAGGCTTATGGATCTTTTTGACGTTCACCTTCAAGACTTTTGCGAGCTCTTCGGAGTCGGACAAGCTCAAATGTTTTCCACATTTCCCACAGGGGTGTTCTTTCAGCGCTTTCCCATTTAGGCTCAACTCGTGTAGCATCTTTCGCGTGAGTTCACGCCATTCTCGATAGGTTAAATACGGTTCTTCAAATTTCACCTTCCAGAATATGGATGTCGCTGCAGGATTAGGACCTGGGCTTGGTTGCTGATCTCGGGGAGTGCCCCTGACGACGACGCCTTCGATATGGCCCTGCCGGCCAGCCCATCCGTCGGTCTGGATCATCCGACAATGTTCCTTGACGGCTTCGATGTCGTTGACAGTCGTGAAAGGGGTGGGATGCATGCCCCATCTTTTGGCGCACTGTGCGACGATCTCGGGCGGGTAAGTGATGAGCTCGGGCGTGTTGAGATTGACACCGTGGAGGTTCAGGCCGACCTGGTCCGCTGGGGTGGCGATCACGTGTTCCTCGAAGTCGTCGTCGGTTAGCTCGGCGACCGCTGTCGCGTTGGCCTCCCACAGCTCTCGCGCCAGCTCGGCTCGGCTGAGGCCAACCTGGGCCAAATGGCGTTCGACCCATCGTTCACCGACGGCTGAATGGGTCATCGGTTCATCTTCGTCTTCTTCCTTTGACCCGCCCGTGGCGTGCTTCGAAGTGACAAGCAGATCGCTAGGCGTCAGTGCGGCCAGGAAGATGATACATCCGTTCGTCTTGAGCGTCAGGTGATAAGGTGCTTGTGAACGACTCGCGAGAGCTTCCCACTATGCGTACAGAAGATGAAAGACCAAATGAGCGATCGGTGCCCCTATAAAAAAAACCAAAAATGCTGCAAAGAAGCGGATAAATACGGACCTTGGTAGAAGGAAGTTCGTCGATATTGAAGAATTTATCGTATCCACGTGCGACGATCGCATGACGACCTTGACCGAGTGCCCGATCGGGATGAAGATTTTCACGGGTAAACAGCCCCCGGGCCATGGTGGGGAAAGGGCAGGGTACACGCCGATAGACATGCTCGGTCATCGTCCAAGAGCGGACAGAAACGAGGGCATCGAGGTGAGATGAATGGATGTCGTATACCCGGGAGCGTACGAGTTTCTTGAGTTTGGGATCGTCCGGCTGGTTGCTGTCCCCTTGACCGGCCGACAGCTTCTCGAGTGCCACAGCCAGCTCATCCACGCTCAGTTCGATGATTTGAGTCCTGCTATCTCGGTTGTTGCTGTTGTTGTTCTGATTGCTGAGCCCGAAGTGGAGGAGTGTCTGGATGAGCAGGTCGGTCTGTTGAGAGATGGTTGGCTGGGATTGGAATTTTCTGAGTGGGGATGCACCGGTGGCCATCTTGGTCTGCTCTCACTCTGCTCATCTTCAAGGCCCATTAGAGCCAGTGGGGAATTGAACCAGGCCCTTGGAAGCGCATACACCCAAACACCTCACTTCAACAAAACACGCGGCATTGCCAACTGATCACCAAGAACACAAAGTTAGAACTTTGGATCAACCATCTCTTTTTTGACACATCACTTTGCCAGAAGTTCAACCCAACAGCTTGCAGTACAAGGCAAAGTGGTGTAAGATATAGTGAGTTTTCAGAGACATGCAACAAAAATATAGGGCACATGCAACCTTTGTGAGAACTCCAACGGAGGATCTGTGCCATGGCCTTCCTTGGTGGATGCAATCCAACCAGTAGGGTGCTTTTTCATTGATCAAACTTGATCTTAATGCACCCCATGTAACCCATTTGCACCCCATGTAACCCATTGAGACAGCACCATGTAACCCATTGAGACAGCACCATGTAGATCTTTCCCCATCATCCAGATCAGTTACAGCAGAAGAATCAACCAAATCAATGCCAAATCTCACAAGTCACAACCACTAAAAATGCCCCCAGAATTCCAGTTCTTCAGAGACAACAATTTATGATTTCTGTTTCCTCAGGACACATTTTTTCTTGAACACCTATCAGGAAATCATTTCAATGAGAGATTTTAGCCTTCAGTCTAGTGATTAAGGTATTCTTGAAGCCCTTAAGATACCATCACCACACCACACTAGCTTGCCCAGCCTCTCCGTCGAACGCACGAAGTGCGGGAGAGGCTTGTGCCGAAAACAAACACGCCCGCGTGTCGCTTTCCAGTTTTGAGAGTGTTTTTTGTGCGAAAAATTCTAATAAATTGCTTTCTTAACTTTAATGGAGGAAAAATCTGGCACATTGTATCCCAGATGCCAAAGTAAATTTTCATCAAGAAATTACCCAGAAACAGCTCAAATTTGTGTTTTTTGCTTATGTAATAGCTTCTCAAGGCTTGGAGCTCAACTTTAATTCTGATTTATTTCAATATTTCATATTTTTCAAAAATATCTTACTCGTCAGGTTTTCATAAAAAATCTCTAAAAATTGGATGAGGAGAACCGCAACATGGTCAACTTTGACCATGCTGACTCTGCCCTCAAACAACCCCAAAGTACATGCATGGTGGGCAATCCAAAATTCCCTACACCAAAACATGTTGATAGCAACACGCAAGCTTGTGCGTATTTGTCACAAGTCCCTCCTTTGGAGGCTCGCTTCGCAAGTGGCGCCAGCCAGCCCAGGTCACCAGGCCCGCAGAAGCGCGGGACTTGGTAAAAGTTAGCACACCACAAAGGCTGAAGAATGTTGAGAAGAGATACATGACTTGAGAAAATACCACCCAAGTTTAATGCATTTATTGCCCAAAAAAATATAGTTTCACATCCTCAATTTTATGCGCATTCATCCAAACCCAAGGTATATGAAATCAGGACACTCTTGTCTCTTGTTAGGCAAAATGAATGAATTTTTGAAATCAGTTAATGGGATTTTTATCATAATGTCCCTGTCCATTCTAATTTCTTGTTCCCCCTCCAATAAAATTCTTGAGAGCATTCCAGACTCCAATTACTCTGATGCTGTCAACCCTCCTGAGTCCTTTCCCTCCTCTCTGATTCCTGTTTCAATTTTTGATTACCTCAATTGATGAAAACCGGGGTTGATTGCAGAAACTAGAACCAGAACTAATACAAAGCACAATTTTAGACATGAAATTAACAATAATGAAGCTATAGAAAGAAACTTAGTGTAATGTAGTGAGAGTCCTGTTTTGCATTAGACAGAACAGGAAGACTTGAGTAGATAAGATCAAATAAAGTGAAGTAATAGAAACTAGAAGAATATAAAAGAAAGCAATGAAACAAAAAGGTTAATATCAGTTGATATGAAATGAGATGAAATTTAACTAGTTTTCTCCCCAAATTGGCAGAAGCCAAGTGATTGGATCAAGATATGAGGTTGGGGCAAGGAGTATGATGGATGGTTGAAGTGAGGACAAGATGATTTGTAGTTGGTGTTGATGAGAGTGGATCAGGAGGGGAATGATTGAAAAAGGAAGAACCAAAGTTGGAGATCAAAGTGGGAGTGAATTTTTGGGGAAGGTTCACAACATTTTTTGAGGATAAATGTCCAAGTAGATTGAGGCAATATTTCTGCTGTCAAATATGTAGTGGATGATTATTGGAATGTGGGAGACGGTGGAAGAAGATACATATCTGGAGGGGTATTTATATGTGTGAGAGGGTAGTGTTGAAATGGAGTTCATGAGAGATGTTCTAGGTTTCCTGAAGGTAGCAAAGTGTAGGCAGAGAGCATATAAATAAATGGAGTTGAGCAGAAGGTAAAAAGGAAAATGAGAAATGAGAAACACAATGAACCAAGCACAGAGAGGATAATGTGAATGCAAGCAGAATTCCAACATAAATAGCTTCATTTTTAGCCATGAAATTCAGGTAAGATACCTCTTTCATTTTCTTCAATGTCTAGATATCAGTGCACTTCCCCAAAATCTAAGCCACTTCTTAACGGTCCTATAGGAAAAATTTGTAGCATACTTAGATTAAGCCAATGTCTTTGTGTCTTATTTGGAAAGTATTCAAATCAGAGACACTTTTTCCACATATGAGCAAAATTCAAATGAGTTAACTTTGTACCCAGGGTCTGATCTTTGATATCTCAAGGAATATGGGTCCAGTCGCAAAAAAGCAGTACTCTGGCTTGTTTCTTAACTTCTGTCAACAGCCATACATACATACTAAAAAGGATGAAAGAAAATCTTTGAAGATAGCTGATTGTTGGGCATTTGCTGCTCTTGAACAAGGTTTTTTTTTGCTGATGAACAAGAACAAACCCAATTTGCTTTGATGATCATGGGATTTTGCCTCTCAAGGGGAGCCTCCCAATAAACCTTTTTAAATGCTATTTATCTATGCTGAAGAAATGGAATTGACAAACTGAGGATTAATGAATGACTCAAGTTTGTATGAAGAACTCATCATCAGTCATGTGTCGCCGCCCGTCCGGACCGTCCTCGGCAGACGGGTAAACGATTCCCTATATTTTTCTCTTTCGAAAATGGCATCAACTTTCATCGCAGTGTGCCATGCCGACCAACGTGACATCGCGTGCGTGAGCTGTTGTGTGATGCAACGATGTTGCTGTATATACCCCATAGGACCCCATCATCATAAATATGTCATCGCCTGTTGTGATCGCGAAAAAAAAAAAATGTATACAATTCCGGATTCCCCGCTCCGGCGGAAGACTGAGGGACTGGTCCGTTCATGTGATCAGGACCCAGGTGGCTCATGCCTGATCAAGAAATTACTGATTCAACTTCCCCATGCCCCACTCTTTCTGGATTATACACATTCACCCTCAACGAGGCTCCTCGGCCCTCGGAGTCGCCAGTTGAAAATGGGCGCGGCATGAGGGGCGAGTTGAGGGACAAAGCTTTACGAGACTGACCTCGGCAGGTGCATCTTCGGTACTGTTCCAAAGCCAGATAAATCAAACGGCAACTGCCGGAGGGATCTCGTTGCAGCGTTTCCCTCGGTGATACACAAGCTTCTCAATCAAGTAAGCTCAACCGTTTCAGTCTGGCTCTCAACTGTGGCCGGTGAGCTTGACTCCTGGAGCACGATTGGCGATCGTGAACCTGCCCGCGCCTACTCCTGAATGCCAACTTGCATTGGAAAGTTGAGTGAGGGACTCCCCTCGGAGAAACTCTTAATCATTTGTATACCAATTCGTCTCCGTTTGGCTGCCCGTACATGCACAAGGCGCATGTACTGTGGCCTAGCAGACAGTACCTCTAGGCACTGCTTGGAACTGAGGCTATTGACTTGTGCTTCTGTTCTGTTCTTTGTTCACAGCTTGTTCCCCAACAAATCTCGGTGAGAACCCTTGCAGACCAGCCGTCACGGTCAAATCTCTCACTATGCCTTCGGTACATGAGGTGTATGCCTTTTATATACCCTGACGATATATATACACCCATTGTATCATCTGATTTATATCGATGTGCTCAATCCACAAGCGTGTTCCGTCCAATCTGAGTTGAAAATAACCCTTTCTCCCCATCCTGAGATTCGCCAATTCTCTTCGCCTCTTCGCCTCTTCACCCTTGCTCACTCCAAACACTTACCGTCCGTTATTATCACGTCGAGAGAGCTCGGTCGAAAACGGCTTTCGTACATCAAAACCCCCTTGAACATTTCATTATCCCAATGTCAACCCGACTGTTCACCGAGGAACGCGATGTGATTTTGGACCCACTCAAGGCGCACCGGTGTCGCTTGATCAAAGACAAAGAGGAGTTCGAGCCGATGACTCGAGCGAGTGAAATCATGTTGACTGCCGAGGAGCCCTCCATACGAACTGTAAGATTCGTTCGCTCAATTGCTTTGCGCCAACCGAACTTGATGAACTGAAAACTCTTGGCCACATTCCATGCGCGATTCCATAGTACTTTTGTGCGAAAAGCGTTGTGACGGATTACATACGGAATCACCCCAATGATCCGCGTGGCTACAAGGAACTTGGCAAAGTTCACCTGTACAGTTGTGTGCCTGAGAATATCGACTTGGCAGAAGAAGCCTTCAAGAAAGTCCAATCACTCTCAGGTCAGTTATCCCTACAGCAGCATTCAACGCGCAAGTCAATGTATGTGGATGCCGATTCCTGATATGCTCTTATTTTGGTTGAACAGGCAATATCGATGCAGAGGGATGGTACTTGTGGTCTATGTGCCATCGGATTCGCATGTTCGGTTGTGGTAGCACCAGTCAGCGGTCGGACGAAAGCAAAACGTTAAACCTTCAAAACGGAAAAAGATATCTTAGACTTACCGAAAAAGGGCTGAAGCTGGCCCTGAAACACTCCAACGGGTCGAACGTTTATCGTTTTGCGCTATCTGACTTTTACAGCTCTACGAACCGGCTGTCAAAAGCACTATCCACGCTTCAATCTGGTATCTCAGCCTCCCAACAAACTCAAGTAGATGCAGCGATCTTTCACCAACTTGGCCGATTTGGAATATCTTGTATAAATGGCTTACAGGAAAGAGGCCGACAAGATGGAGCGAAAGAGGTTGGCATGGGTGCATTGCAATATTATCGACAGGCAATCGAAATCGGGGGAAATGACACGGAAGAATGGAAGGCCGAACTTGCTAATGCGGAGTTGATAGTGGATCAATTGGTTGAACAAACTGTTAGACTCCTTGCTCGGTTGATCAGAACTTTTGAAAAGACTTCAAGCTCATTCTTGCTTGCTCTATTTCTTTGCCCAGTCCGACTTAGCAGACTTTTCCACCGAGCCAGACTTTAATCCATCAGGCCCTATCTCCTTGAAACGCTGGCTTACTGCCTCACCCGTATCCACTCAACAGGGTGATGACTCCTTGTCCCCAGAAGAAGCCGACGTTTCTGGACGATTATCGGACCCAATTTCGAAAGAATCGGCTGCGAACCTGACTGAGTTTCTCGATAGGATTGAAAATCAAGCCCAAACTTACCAGAACGGTGATCCGGATGGCTTGATCGAGAACTTCAGATGGCCTCACCCCCCGTCACGGTTAGGAGAGCCTCGGTTGCCATCTCACCAACCTGGTCCATCTGTAAGCCGAGAGTCTTACAAAAAAAACATTGCACGAATATCTTCATCGCTTTAGCCGCCTGATTCCAATCATTGATCACAATTTCAGATGAATCCTTGCCGGAGGAATTGGGGCGATTCTGTGGGACCGACCAGCTTCCTCTCAGGCCCTTGTCATTTGGCAGAGCGGAAATCGAACAACAGACCTTTACCTGATTCTTACAACTTGACGTCAAGGTATACTGTTGATGAATTCGACGAGGATGAACTTATTCCTTCACCGTCATGTACATGCTCCACTTGAAATAATCGTATATTTCCAAGCAGAGGTGCCCACAAGAGTTGTCAATTGTGTATTCTTCTCTTGAGGGTATCTTACTAATATCAAACCCTTGACGATTTCTCAACTTTAAATGTTGCTCAAAGTTCTTAAATTATTAGTTGTTGTTGTTTAAACGCATTTAACGATCATTCGCCAAAAAAAATACAGATTAGTCAAGTATCGAGTAAAAAGCTAAGATTTTAAAGTCTAGTAAAATGAACAATCTCTTCGAATTTTTGAGTATCACACTATCAAGCTTCCAATCGGAATGACCTTTTTAGAATACTACCGTATCTTTTTGCTTATACGAAGTTAACCTTTCCGACCACCAATATCGTGCTCATAAATATGTGAAAAGAGACTTTCTTCTGTTTATTTTCAAAGGGTTGTATGAAGCTAGTTCCACTCCCAACTGCTTTTTAGTGTCTTCTCTCTGTGTTGATGAATTCACATTCCCCTTTTTTGTGGACAGTTCTGTGATTATACCCTTTACGACTTGTGGACCCAATGTGGGTATTTGAATTTAGCTAGTTGAAACTGATGTTCTATCGCCATCCACCCAGCTACAGAGGGTGACAAGACTCTTCAAAAGATTGAGGTTATTGAGGTATGTAGGCTGTAGCTGCATAATGGATGTTGCCAACCAGGAGGTGCACCCAGCGCCTCAAAACGTACGAGATCAATTGGCATCGACGTCTTCATCTGTATCATATCAGACCACGTTTGGCGTTGTCTTTCAGCAAGATCTTGATTTCTTTTGCCCCAGATGATCATACATACTCAAAAGGTGATGCACTTCGCCAACTCTGACCCCTGAGTTACAAAGCGACACATTTGTTTCCAGATGGTGAGAATCTCTCCATCTGGAAGCAAGTATGACTCGGGAATTAAATTCACGAGATGCTGATGGTGAATTAGCGACTGCAAGGAGGCAGCGGAACATGCAAATTGACAAAGGCTAGTATCAACGTGATTTTTATAGATGAACTTTCAATTATTCACCACGAGTTTGAATGCGTATTATGTTCAATTGTCAAAGCCAAAGAAATCTTCCGGATGATTGATCGGCTTTCGCTGAAGGGCTAGCAACTGCTCACATTCACCATCAGCAAGGGGCACCGTGCCCACACAATCTGTCCACAATCCCTTGGTACAGCTTGGTACATAGAAGACAGCAGGACCAACTGCGAACAGTTTAACCGAGACGAGACGAGATATGCAGCAGAGATAAGAAACTGAAATAACAGAGAGACAATGATCCCCAGTCGTGCGACCAACCAACCAAAACAGCCAGCCAATCTGCGGGTGAGTATCCAGAAGATCTAATGCCCATTTGCCAATTCCGAAATCAAAGAAAAAAGAGTTTGGTTTCCTTGGGAGAACTCCATCTGAAGTCAATAGTCCAAGAGAGGAAAAATCAAGCAACAACTGAACCCACGCAACTTCAAAAAACAAACAGACTGCACCTGCATATCTTTCTTTAGAGACCAGGGGAGGCGATTGCTTCTCCAAAAACCTTTCAGACGGAAATCTTACCGTAAATTCAGGCCACCGACTACTGAGTGAAGATGACAACGGGTTCCTGGACGAGCTTGAGCTGGAAAGATCTCGGAACGCCTTGCACCACGACGCACCACTCACGCACTCTTCATTGGGGCCGGCGCCGGGCGAGTTTCCGGAGTCTGCGACGCTGGCTCTTGACCCTATCTTTATCGGCGGGCGTGGTTATATATCTGTGTTACACCGATAGCGAGACGCCGAGCGAAGGGTTTTCAGCGACTTACCTGCCCCGAACACGTGCCCTACTCGAAAACTGGCGACACTCAGAAACACGTGACGGCCGCTGGCTCTCTGTTAACGATGGCCTCCAACCCAGCTTCACGACCGATCCGAGCGGGATCAAGTTCCCTCCCGAGGTCTATCCCGCTCTGATGAATCCTTATCAGAGGGCCAATGCTACTTTTGTCTCCGTCGTCAGAGAGCGTGATCTCAGCGACTTGATGATAAGCATGCGGACCGTCGAGGATCGAATTAATCGGAAGTTTGGTGTCTGTGGAGGATTTTTCTGTGACTTCTTCCAGTTTGAAATTCCAGGAAACTGAATTCAACTGATGCAAAACTCGACTCTCTCTTTCTCCCAATTTCATAGTACCCTTGGGTCTTCCTAAGTGAAGATCCTTTCAGTCTAGATTTCAGACTGGCAATCAAATCGATGACCAGGTCCCAGGTTTTCTTCGGCCTCATCCCTCCCCGCCAACTGTCTTATCCTTCCCATGTGGACCGACGTAGAGCTACAAGGGTCCAAAAGACTATGGACAATGACTCTCAAAAGAGCAGACATGGAGATAATCAGAGTCGCCGACATATTTCGCGCTTCCATTCGGGGTACGTTCATGTTCAAGTGATTATTAATTGCTTCCCGGACAATGAAACAGATAAATACTCAGCCCAGGCTCATAAACGCGCTCTAGCTTCTTCTTTCGTCACCCGCTCATGTTGAAATTTAATTACTATTGGCGGGTCGAACCTGGGATTCAATACTATTGCGATGTGGACTATGATCCATTTGTATTTGTAAGTATCAAAGATAACGCCAAAAAATAATCAAGATGTCTGGAAGCAATAAGAAGAGAGAAGCGGAGCTTGATTAATATACTCTTTGGATGGTTGACCAACTTCCGATGCAACATATTTCAAGATGGAGGAGAACAAGAAAGTGTACTCATTCTCAGTCTCTCTGATGGAGTACCAATCGACGATCCCGAGCCTTTGGAAAACCGTCCAAGGATTTGTGCGCGCCAATCCGGACCTCCTAGCAGCGAATAGTTCGATTGACTTTCTCCTCAAGGACCCATCTCAAGGGATCGAATCAGACTACAACCTGTGTCACTTCTGGTCGAACGTGTGTAATAGACACCTACTCTAACCGACTCATGTATCAGGACGTGATGCTGATCAAGTCGGACATCGGTCTGGATGGGCGTCTTTCTCTGGGACGGACACAGTTTGAGGTAGGAGACATGCGTTTCTGGAGATCGACCACCTATGCCAAGTTTTTTGCTCATCTCGATAGGGCCGGGGGGATTTACTATGAGCGATGGGCCGAGGGCCCGATCCATTCGATCGCCGCCGCACTCTTCCTCCGCCGGGAGCAGATTCATCAGTGGGACGACATCGGGTACTTCCAGACCCCCTTCTCTCACTGTCCTTCCGACTACGAACGCTTCCATTCAAACGGTAAGTGCTTCTGTGATCCGTTCGAAAACTTCGATCAGGACCCTTATAGCTGTGCTCCTTTGTGGTGGGAACTTGATAGGTCAGTTACATCCCATTCATCACTAATCGCAGGTTTAAATCACTCTTTGTATACAAACATTAATCAGTTTATTATGTGACTTGATGGATCAACTCAGGAAGAAAATTAAGGACTCAAAAATCCGATCTAATTCATGAAAGCTTTGATAAGCTAGCACACACAAATTCACGCAAAAAAAAGAAGAAACAAAAGCATTTGGATTTTGAATTTATCTCACCTGTAACTTTAATCAAATTTTATGAAACAACATGCATGTCCAGATTGCCACTATCCTTTTGAGCAAATTCTTGCAGGAATTTTAGCTTGAAAAATTTGTATAACTGGATTGATTGCTGTAAGGACTCGTTGGTCCTTCACTATATCTTTATGGAAATGAACTCAGAGTTGGCTGAGGAAGACAGTTCTAGAACCAATGTATCTTGGAATTTCTAGCTCATCAGAAGAGAATGAAAAGTTGAGTTTCTCTGTTAGTACAAGCTGATTTGAATTTTGATCACAATAAAAGAAATGAAGAGAAAAAGGAGAAAACAAAGAAAGATAATGAAAAGACAAAACAAGATCCGTAAATAGGAGGTGGTCAAGGCTTACCTAGCTCAGCAGAAGAGAATGAAAAGTCAAGTCTCTGCTCAGCTAGGAGGGGGGAAGGGCAATGAACCTGAAGTAGTTGGTGTGTTCTTGATTATGTAATACTTTTTGTGAAACCTGTGCAGCGGGGTTTTGCAATGGCCATCACACAGGATGGTGATTAGTAATCAATCCCCCAGGGATTATACAACCATAAAAATAGGGCATTGGTTAAACAACTCCCATGGGTTGGAGTTCCAACTCACAAAAACTGGGAAATTTCCACCAGACCAACAGTGGCTCAGCTAAGCTATACACTATAGTTAGTGATAGTGATGCAAAGCACAGAAGATTAATACTGTTAACACTATAGATATTTTCCTTTAGCTGTTGGTGGTATAACACCAACACTGGCCAAGATTAACTAAGTGTCTTGTGGTGAGAGTGCCATGTGGGCAGGTCTGGGCTCTCACCAGAGTGTGAAACCTCTCTCCAAAGGTTTCACAAGAAAATCACAGACTCATAAATTCCACTGCTTCATGAAACACTTGCTACCTCACCCCCTTCCTTTCTCAGCAGAGACTCAATCAACTTCATACTTTGCTGAGCTAGGTAAGCTACTCATCATTTCACTCCCATATTGCTTTCTTTCTTTATTCTTTATTCTCTATTCTCTATTATTTCTTTTCTATATTATTTCTTTCACAATTCATAGACCAAACAATGTACTGAATAGACAGACTCAATCAACTTCATACTTATCTGAGCTAGAAATAAACACACTTTGGTGTTGAATTTTAAATTGGAGAAGGGACAATTTGGCAAGGCTGAAAGCAGAAAAGGGCTGAGTATAATTAACCTAGAACTTAATGGAAGAGGCTAAAGTGTCTTCAAATGAAAAGTGCAGTCAGAACTGACCATTTTTTTATTCTCATGTATCTAGTGGCTCAAATAAACTAATTACATGATGTTTGAGTTGTGGGAGCAAAATCACAAGCACAGTGAATAAAAAAACATCAAGTGATTTACCCCTTACACAGAGAGGCTTACATAATATCACTCAAAGTTGGCATGAGCAACAGTGAACCAATACTTTATGTTAAAGTATTTGGCCCCATATATGTAATGCATTGGCCGACTTTTTCTGATGTTTTTTGATATTTCTATCAAAAAGGTATCAAAATTTCAATATGTTTTGATGTTTTGCAATGTGATGCAGGCTGCATCAACCAAAAGCAGCCTGTATTGGCAGTCATGGAGGGTTTTTGTTCCAGCCCAATATTTTATTGCTATCGTCCATCCACAGAGTCAATACACCCATGGGTGTGTAAAATAGGGGGTATCAAATACAGGAAATCCACCTGGAAACCAGTCACTTTTCCCTTTTTTCATCAATGGGACCCAAAAGGGTCCAAATGAAGAGCCAACATTTTTAAAAAATGGTGAAGATTTTCAAACCAGACAAGTAAATAATGGTGGATTTGGTTATATTTGATATGCCCTAGTAAAAAATTTTCTGTCACTTTACAATGAATTACCAATAGGGGGTATCAAATATAGTAAATACACCATTAGAAACCACTCTTGCTATCAGCCCACTGTTTTTTGAAGCTTTCTTTTTATTTTCACCTCTGGCTTTGATGCTATTCTCATCAAAATTTTATTGAAGTATTTTCCTTGTTCTATGACATTGTATTGATCTTTTGGTATTTTTTCATGTTGTTGTTTCCATCTGAATCCAAGTATCAACAGCGGTGGGCCGCTACGCTACACTACGCTTTTGGCCCAAAAAGCGTAGCGTAGCGGCGCTTTTTTTGCGCCAAATTTTTGTAGTGTTAGCGCTTTTGTAGTGCATTTTTGCTACGCTACGCTGCGCTACAGCGCTTTTAGCGGAAAAAGCGGCTAAAAACCGCTGTAGCGCAGCGTAGTGGGCCCTTTTTTGTGGCCCACACGCGTAGCGTTAGCGGTGTCGTGGCGGAATTCCGCTACGCTACGCTTAACGCTAACGGGAATTCCGCTGCGTTACGCTACACTAACCGCTACGGTTAGTGTAGCGGCCCACCATTGGTATCAACGCTGAGCCAGCTACGCTAACCGTAGCGTTAGCGTGGCGTAGCGCAGCGGAAATGCGCTACTTTGTAGCGTAGCGTTAGCGAAAAATCCACCTTTCTGCGCTAACGCTACGCGCAAAGGGCACAAAAGTGTGTTAGCTGTTAGCGTAGCGTTAGCGCAGAAAGTTGGAATTTCGCTAACGCTACGCGCTCAGGGCACAAAAAAGTGCCTGCTACGCCGCGCTACAGCGCTTTTTAGCGGTTTTTTTGCCTTTTTTGCCGCTAAAAGCGCTGTAGCGCAGCGTAGCGGCTGTAGCGATGCGCTAACACTACCCAGAAACAAGCCGTCTGTTAGCGGGGCTACAGCGTAGCGTAGCGGCGGTAGCGGCACGCTAACACTACAGAAAAAAAGGCCTGTTTCAGCGCCGCTACGCTAACGCTAAGTGGCCCTTTAGCGTAGCGTAGCGGCCCAGCGTTGCAAGTATACCAAACACTTGAACTCTCAAAGTTTCATCTGAAGTTATCACTGGGAGCTTTTACAGACCTTTAGCCATGAAGCTGTGACAGGTTGCACCTGAAAGGGTCAATAAATCAATTGCTGAGGCTAGTTGTGTGCTGTTAATACTTTTTAATTCCTAGGGTTCAAATTTATTTTGATGATTTTTGGCTTGATCACAAAGAAAAGACAAGAAATGCAATGCTACACCAATCCAAAAACACATGCATATCTAAATTCACCATTGCAGCGGAATCCTTAGCACTGTTGATACTGGGGAGAACAACTGGCACATACATTGTCAAGAATCCAGCCTTCAAATTTGTACCAGTGTTTCCAGGTGTACCTTGCTTCAGGTTGCAGCACCCATCAATTTAAGCTTTGGCTCCTGCAGCAGCACACACATGTCACAATGGATTGAACAAAAAGAAGGTGCCCTGAAGACTGAAACTCAACCACAACTCCAGCTGCAAACTTGGCATCAAAATCCCCCGGCATGGAAAACAAGTGATTGCTATTTTTTCAGTTTTTGGTACTTTTGACTGTTTTAGCAATAAGAGCTGAAAAAAAGGGAAGCAAAGTCAGGCTTCTGGCACTTCAGTGTACTGAACAATGTCCTCACTAGAATAAATGCTGTGGAGCAGCATCCAGAAGAGTGAAAAGTCATGTTTTGGGATACCTTATCACAAGTCCCTCACCTGCAGCCAGTTTTCCTGAGGGACTTGCTTATCATGTTAAAAATTTGGCTGGGACAGGAAATATGAATGGCTGAAGTGAATTTTGTTAAGCTTCTCACTCTTTGTCCCACTGCTCCACAACCCTGCCCCAGAGCCAGGCAAATATTTTGTGGGTGAGCTTTCATTTTAATGTGGGCTCATCCACTCATTTGTAATGGTTCTCCCTCCACAAACATTTTGGAAATAATAATAAAAATTCTCCTTCAAAACTCAAAACACAGATCTACCAAGATTGGCAAGGCAATCTGCCAGAGATTTTCTAGTCTGCCACCTTGCAGATTCAACAAGCAACGTTTTGACTATGAGTTGCACTCTCAGCACCCTTGACAAATGAGAGTGCATTGATAAATTATCCCAGGGTACGGTTGCCGGGCCGGCTCAGAGATCCCGGTGGGAATTCCGGGAATTTGGGGCAAGGGAAAGGGGGGGGGTAATGACCATTGGTAGTTATTCAATCAATTTGAATCTTTGTATTACAACCATGCATGAACAGAACAAGAGAAATTTAAAGAAAAGTAATGAAAAAGACAAGTCTTAATTGTTGTTGTCTTCAGTGTCATTGTCATCATCCTTGTCGTTGTTGTTGTATTTGTTGTCTTTGTTGTTGCTGCTGTGAGCATTGTCATTGACTTGATTGCTGCTCAAAGTAGAGGCATCAATCATCTCCTCACACTTCTGGTACCATTCTTTGACACAAAGAAGTTGCTCAATCGAGGAGCTTTTGAGGCTGTGACGCTGTGATCTGATGATTGTCTTTGATCTGGAGAAGACTTGTTCAGATGGTGCACTTGTTGCAGGGATGCCAAGGCCACAGCTGGCCATCGACGATAACAATGGGTACACCTGCTTGTTTTGAGACCAGTAGGCAAGAATGTTGCAGCTTGCTTTTTCGTTAACTTCAGCAATATATTAGAGGTCGGTCAAACTTTGGAGTCCTCCCAACTTGCCAAGTCTCAGGAGGAGGGACCCAAATAAGTCCGGGTATACCCTTGGTCTGGAGGGTATATGTACGCGTGTAGAAAACAGTCCCGCGGGAAAATTAAATACCCGTGTACCGTTCCCAATACCCAAAGGGAAGAGCTCGGGCACCGTGTTTTGCCTTCCTGGCTGAAGGTTATACCCGCGGGTCGGGGAGCCAGTGTCAACACTAGGCGACCTCAGGACAAAAATTCAAAATTTCCATTTTCTTTATTTTCTATAAAACAATCTCTAGACAACAACACCCACAGATCATGTTCTTTATTTCTATTTCTAGTCATGTTGAGTCTACTTTCTATACATAAATACATAAGTATGTAAATTCTATTTCTAGTTACACATAGTATGTTATTAGGCGCGTCGAGGAGTATTGAGACCCCGGCGCGTGTTGAGTAAGATTCATCTTAAATAGTCCTTCTTGCTCAAACCTGCTCTTGTTCCCCCATGGTATTTATCTTGTTTTCACTCTTATATTATAATATATCATACTTTTCATCGCTGCTTCAGGATTTTGAAAATCCTCCCTGCACCCTGCCAAAGTTTCCAGATCCCTAAAAATTATTTACAGCCGGGCAGCCTGAGAGGTGCCGGGTACCCCGCGGGATCCAGCGCTAATTTCACCAGATGGGCAACCGCAAAACTCGCAACATTGAAAACCCAAGCGGTGCTTGCTTCCGATGCATAAAACTAGACCAATCTAAGAAAAAATTCACAACTTTGACCGACATAATGTAGGGCAGTTCACGTTCAAGCCAAACCCCTGCTGATGCAGCTTAAAGTTTGCTTGCTGATGCACCATCCTTGCATAAACTTAAATGGCATTCATGCAGCAGCAAGCCCAACACCCTTGGTCGACCTCGATATCCCTGCTCATGAGTTGGCGTCCAGCATGTCGTCAAGGTTGTGTTTGAAAGATACCACGTACATGAAGAACAGGTCCCGGAGCAAAGATTGAAGTGCGGGGCATGTTGTGTTGAACTCGGTTTGAAGTATAGCAGAGCGAGCACGCTATGCTATGCTGTACATACGTGAAGGCTCCTGCTGCTGTGACTTGCTGATGCAAGCAGCTGCAACCTGAAAATTTGTGCAGGCTGGTGCAGCAGCAAAAGACCACTTTGCATAAAGTTTGGTTGCTGATTCGGAGATCAGCAGTAAGTGAACCCCCTTAGTACAATCACTCTCTATCTCATGCCCAATAAAGAAGACTGAAGTTGACAAACATACAAAAGCGACTTGATCTTGACCCATCAAATGTTGCATTACAATTTAAGATTTTTTTTTTTTTCAATTTTTTTCTTCTTTATTTCTTTCTTTTCCCTCTACACCATGGGTGCACGAAGACGATTCCAAAAACGACTGGGTGGAACACCTGGCAAACTTCTCACACCCAGCAAGCTGAAAACGCTTCCAGAACGTTTAGATGTTTGCGCCTGGAAGACGACTCAGAGGCGGCTAGCTGAACGCCTTGGAGCCGAAGCGCTGTTGCCTCCAAACCAATCTGGAAACGTCCTCTGACGTGTCGATCTGGAGGCGACTTGAAAACACTCCCCACTCAACTTGTAAACCTTGCCCAAAACGACTTCCAACCGGCTGGAGGTCGTTCCCAGAAACGCCTGGGCATCCGGTGAATAAACCCACACTCTCAGGAACCCATGGAGACTGGGGTGGTCCCTTTAGGGCAAATAATAATAAAAAAAATAATATGTATTGATAATTGAAATTTCCAATAGTGACCGACAAGAAGTATAGGACATATGAAAAAAAAACAAAAAAAAATGAGACATACAAGAGGGGGAGAGAATAACCGACACAGAAAAGAGAGAAGAATAAGTAAAGGAGGATGGATGGGTTTGAAGCTCCAGGTTGATCAGGAATAGTTTCCCAAGGAGCATTGCCCATACCCGCTTTGCTCGTCTGTCCGTCTGATCCACCCCTCCGACAACTACTCATGGGCCTTCTCCGCCTCCTCTCAACTTCTGGTTCTCCTTCAGCACTTTCTTTGTTGTTGGCATCTTGATGTCTTCTACCATTGTCAAGCCAATGAAGGTCAGGAACATATGGTATCCTCTATTATTCATCCCATATTCCAGTCGGAATAACAAACAAACAAAATATTAAAGACTCAGTTCATAAGAAAAAATGATGGTTGGAAAGAGAAACAGACTTACAAGAGAGCAGAGATCAGAAGTAAGGGCAAGACAGAGAGAAAAAAGATGGTCATGGAGATCGGATTACACTGCAAATCATTGGGGATAGCTTGAGTGTTGTTGTTTATTGAGTTCAAAGAATAACTTCCATATCGAAAATCAGATGATGATGATTGTTTTGTTAAGACAGATAGGGGGATTTACTTTGAGGGAAGAATAATGATGGTTGATCTAAAAAACAGCACAAAAGAGTGAAAACAAAATATCAGTAAGAATAATGAGCAAAGGTAAACAACCGGAGAGGAGGGTAGCTGGCTCAGATACGGTCCAATGAGGACAGTTGTGGACTTAAAGAATTTCTGCTTGGCCCCCTCCCCCCCCCCCCAATGCCACTCAGGGTCCAGGGGAGGCTGTGTTCTGGACTGTTTGAAAGACCCAAGAGTGGAGCTGCTGAAGTAAGCTGGTTTTCCAGCCGACTCAAAACCCAGCATCAGTTTTCATGTTGACTCAAAAACTGTTCAAGTTTTGAGTTTGACTTGAGAACCATCATTGATTTTCAAGTTGACTTGGAAGCCACATTGGTTTTCAAGCCGGCTTGAGAACCAACTTTTATGGTTGGTTTTTAAGCCGACTTCAAAACCGCCTGGTTTTCAAGTCGGCTTGAAAACCGGTGCAATTCTGAAGTCGACTTGGAAACCAATACGGGTTTTCAAGTTGACCTCAGAACTGCACTGGTTTTCAAGCCGATTTGAAAACCGTTTGCTTTAAGGTTTTTTGTGTCCAAACCTTAGATTGGTTTGGGAGTCGTCTTCAGAACCTATTTGGTTTGGAAGACGACTCAAAAACTCCAATGGTTCTTGAGAACGACTCAGGAACCAATGGGTGCACCCGTGGTGTACATACAGTCAACTCTGCTCTAACCCATACCTGTATTAACCCATACTCTCCTGTAACCCATGGCAAAATGTGTCCACCAAGTTGGTGGACAGCCAAAAAAGGATTTCAAACCCATAACCCTCTAATACCCAGTAACCCATACCATATGGAGAGAAAAATTCAAGAAATCATGGGTTTTTCTCTAAACTTACTGAGTGGTGGTTCAGATTATTCTTGCTTCCAAAAACTAAATCCTTCCAACCAGTCTATCGTGAAAGAGCCACCCATTTCAAAATACCTCCTCCAACAGGGTGATATACTGTCTTTCAACCAATCCAACTCAGCTAAACCTGAGGATCTTGCTTATTCCAGCTCAATTGATAACATTCACATTGATATACTTCCAAAAAAATATTAAGCTTTGAAGAACCAAGTCAAAAAGAAAAAGAAGGAACTGGTGGAAAGGCAAAAGCAGAATGAACTTACCAAATCCAACAAAGAGTGGATGGATAATGAGGGGAACTTGATTGAAAACCACAAAGTGTTTTTTCTCTCCATGAAACCCATGAAATCATCATTTGGTGGAGAGAAATTCGAGATCTTCCCTCACCTCTTTGTTAACCCACTAAAACATGTGTTAATGAAGGGAATCCTCTTAACCCATGAATCATGGGTTAATAAAGAGCCTCTTCCTCCACCCATGCTCTCTATCAACGGTGCAACGAGTCCTATACGCGTATTGTATAGGCATATACAGCGTATTGCACTTCGTCAGAAGTACATGTATTTTGAAATACATGTATTGCATCTGCTAGTGAATACAATACAAATACATTGTATTCATTTTCTAGCCTATACAATACAAATACATTTTTGGTTGTATTCCCTTTAAAACCCCTTTTTTTCTCTTTTTTTTTCTCTTTTTTTTCTCTTTTTTTCTCTTTTTTTCTCTTTTTTTCTCTTTTTTTTCTCTTTTTTTTCTCTTTTTTTCTCTTTTTTTTCTCTTTTTTTTCTCTTTTTTTTCTCTTTTTTTTCTCTTTTTTTTCTCTTTTTTTTCTCTTTTTTTTCTCTTTTTTTCTCTTTTTTTTCTCTTTTTTTTCTCTTTTTTTCTCTTTTTTTTTCAGAGGGGTGAGAGAAATGAAGCAAACAATAGAGAAACAAAATCTGAATGTAAAAAATACACAAACTGAATGCAAAAAATACACGAAAAGGCACAGGAAAGGGTTAATACTTCAGATTTTGTTTCTCTATTGTAATTTGTTTCATTTCTCTCACCCCTCTAAAACTCTCACCAAAGCAATAATTGTATTGTATCCGCATCCTGTAATCTTATTTAATCTCTGAAAAAAAATGAGTTGTCAAAGGTGTATTTGCTGAAAAATGAATACAATTTATTTGGTGCAAAAAACAAGAAAAAAAATCAAAAGGAAAAAAAATCAACAAAAAAATAAAAATAATAATAATGGAAAAAAATAAAGGGCCTTAATAAAAAAACGCGGTTTTTCCGCGTTTTGACGCGGTTTTGATGCGCCGCAGCACACGCGGTTTCCGCTTTTAGACGCGGTTTTTTAATTAATTTTTTATGGGTTATTTTTTGAGTTTTTTTGAATTTTTAAAGTTGTTTCCTACACTATAAAAGGCGTAGAATTTAATGGTAAAACCCATTTTCCATAAAAATGAATTTTGACTATTAATTTTTTTTTCCACTTATTTTTCAATTAATTGTTTGCATGCATGTATGTACCTTATTTTTTATGCTTTTGTGAAATTTTAAAATTATTTCCTAGGTTTCAATGTGTGTAGAATTTAATGGTGCAATCCAATTTTTTTAAAACTCAAAGGTTCATTTTTAATACTGAAATTAGACCCATTTTTTCACTTAATTTTTTACAGCTTAATTCTCATCATTTTTTGACATTTTAAATTTATTTCCCACACTTTAAGACACGTAGAAAATGATGGTAACAACCATTTTTCCCCAAAATGGAAACTATACCTTGAATGCCGCATTTGACACGTTTTTTTTAATTAATTCATCACTTTTTCACTTAATTGTTTGCATACATGTGTGTACCTTATTTTCTATGCTTTTTTGAAATTTTAAAGTTTTTTCATACATTTAAAAGTGTGTAGAATTTAATGGTAACATCCAATTTTCTTAAAACTCAACATTTCATTTTTAATACTGAAACTAGACACTTTTTTCAATTAATTCTTTACATGTTATTTCTCACTATTTTTTGACATTTTAAGTTTATTTCCCACACTTTAATACATGATAAAAATGATGGTAACAACCATTTTACATAAAAATCAGCGCTTGTTACTGAATACTGCAGTGGACAGGCTTTTTTTAATGTTTTTTTGATTGATTTTTACCGGCCTGATTTTAAGCATTTTTTTTATTTTAAATTTATTTCCTACCTTTACAAATGTTTAGAATTGAATGGTGAAGTCCAATTTCACTCAAAATACAAGCTTCAATCTTAATAGATGAGCGTACCCTGTTTCTTGCATAATTTGTACCATATACAAATTTTATTTGAATGCAAAATGGATACAGCCATCAATTCTGAAACCTTGTAAATTGTAGGAAATGAGCTTGAAATTCCAAAAAATAAGGATAATTGAGCGTGTAAGAATTAATTCAGGAAACACGTCAAAGGCATTATTCAAGATATATTTTTCATTTTGATGAAAATATATTGTTGCCATAATTTTATAAATGTTTGAAAGTGTAGGAAACAAATTTAAAATGTCAAAAAATAATGAAAATTAAGCTCTTAAAAATCAATTGAAAAATATCACTAATTACAGTACCCAGAATGAACCGTTGAGTTTTATGGGAATTGAATGTTACCATTAAATTGTACACACTTTTAAATGTAGGAAACAACTTTAAAATTTCAAAAAAGCATAGAAAATAAGGTACACACATGTATGCAAACAATTAAGTGAAAAAGTGATGAATTAATTAAAAAAAACGTGTCAAATGCGGCATTCAAGGTATAGTTTTCATTTTGGGGAAAAATTTTTGTTACCATCATTTTCTACATGTCTTAAAGTGTGGGAAATAAATTTAAAATGTCAAAAAATGATGAGAATTAAGCTGTAAAAAATTAAGTGAAAAAATGGGTCTAATTTCAGTATTAAAAATGAACCGTTGAGTTTTAAAAAAAATTGGATTGCACCATTAAATTCTACACACATTGAAACCTAGGAAATAATTTTAAAATTTCACAAAAGCATAAAAAATAAGGTACATACATGTATGCAAACAATTAATTGAGAAATGAGTGAAAAAAAATAATTAATAATCAAAATTCATTTTTATGAAAAATGGTTTTTACCATTAAATTCTACGCCTTTTACAGTGTAGGAAACAACTTTAAAAATTCAAAAAAACTCAAAAAATAACCCATAAAAAATTAATTAAAAAACCGCGTCTAAAAGCGGAAACCGCGTGTGCTGCGGCGCATCAAAACCGCGTCA